GTCCTGATCTCCCGCTCCGCCATGCCGTTTTGCTGCGGGGTGTATGGGCAGGTCAGGTCGTGGACGATCCCCTTGCCGTTCACGAAGTCGGTGAACTGCTTCCCGAGGAACTCCCCTCCCCGGTCAGAGCGCAGCATCAACACCGACTTCTTCGTCTGCCGCTCAGCCACCGCCAGCCACTGCACGAACACCGGCAACGCATCTGACTTCATGGCGACCGGCTTCACCCACACGTAGCGGGTCTTGCGGTCCTTCAGCAGCAAGAAGTACAGGCTGCCGTCCTTGGCAGCCACGCGGAACGGCCCGCACAGGTTGATGTGCACGACGGCCAGCATGTCGTCGGCGTCGGAGCCTTGGTCGGGGAAGGTGTGCTGCGCCAGTTTCCCGCCGACGCACGAGACACACGGGGAGTCGGCGTCCATCGCCGACTTGAGGTCCAGCCCAATGGCGACCTGGTTCTTCGCCGAGCTCCGTATGGTGTCCATGCCGACGTGCGCAAGCCTCGCATGCATCCGGTCCGGCGTCGACTTCGCCTTCGAGACGATCGCTCGCAGGGCCACAACCTCCGTCGTGGGCGACGTCGACCTCGTTGAGCAGGGACGCAGGTCGGTGCAGAGGACACGCCCGGAGTACGTCGCCCGCCCGAGCACCTCCCCTGCTACCGAGACGAGCAGCATGCCGTCTCCGTCCTCCTGCAGCTTCACGCCGTGCTCCTTCAGCTGGCCGGCCGACAGCAGGTTGGCCCGCACACCCGGGACGTACAGCACGGCGGGGATGAGTACCTGCTGCCCGGCCTCCCCTTGTAGGGCGACGGTGCCACGGCCCTGGACGTCCTGCACCGCCCCATTGAAGCTGCGCACGTGCTTGATGGAGCCGCTCGGCTGCAGGTCAATGAAGACCTCCTTCATCCCCATCAGGTGGTGGGAGCAGCCACTGTCGAGCAGGACCACCGCCGGGCTCGCCTGCACAGCTGCCGCCACCGCCTGGAAGTCCTCTCCGGCCTCCGGCGCCAGAGAGATGGTCGGCTCCACAACGCCGACCAGCGAGCACGACGCCGTCTTGTCGTCCCGCACCTTGCCGCCAGCAGGGGAGTCGGCGTCCTTCGCCGAAGTCGACGTCTTGGTCGACTGCTTCTCCTTGCGCGGCTGGTTTCCTCTACGACGAGGACGACGGCTGCCAGACCTCCCACGGCCTCCCTTAGCGTCGTCGTCGTCGGAGTCACTGCGGTTAGGACACTCGAAGGAGAGATGGTCGGGGTCGCCGCACAGCCAGCACTCCCGACGTCGACCTCCTCCTCCCTGACCGCTGTCCTTGGTCGACTTCTTCTTGTCGACCTCCTTGGCCGGCTTCCAGCCACCGCTCCCGCCGCCACCAGACTGTCCGCGTTGTCCAGGTCGGCCTTCTTGCTTCGCCGGGGCGACAAAGTTGGCCTGCGCCAAGAGTTCCTGTGACCACTCAGCCTCCTGCATCGCCTCGTCCTGCAGGATATACGAGGTCAAGTTGTCCTCGTTGAGCGTTGACCTCGTGCTCGGCGCAATGGACAGCCGCTTCAGGAGGTTATAGCTGCTAGAAAGTCCCTGCATGACATGGGTGATGTACGACGCCGTGGAGTACTGCGCGCCGGCCATCCTGATAGTGGCGAGAATTCGCCGGGCTCGGTTGCAGTAGTCAGTCGATGTCTCCTTGTCACCCATACGCAGGTGCGTCAGCTGTCCCTCCAGCTGGGCGATGAACAGGTCGTCGGTGACCTGGTACGTCGACTCAATGAAGTGCCATGCCCGGTGGCCGGCGTCGATGTACTCCCGGCACCACTTCTAGGCGATCTGCACGCCCGGCGAGCAGCACCGCGAGATGACCGTGAAGGTCAACAGCTGCATAGCACGAAACTCCGCTCGCAAGTCGGGGTGGTGCTCCCCCAGCGTCGCCACGGTCCCTCGGGCCAAGCCGATCAGCCCAGCCATCTCCAGCTGGGGCTCGATAGCTTCCTTCCAGGTGAGAATGTCGGGTCGACTCACCAGTGGGGGGGTGACTGAGATCCTGTCCGGCGTAAACTTGAAGTAGCCGTAGCTCGGTGCAATCCCGCCCGCTGTCACCTGGATCGCCGACATCGGCGACAATCCGCTTCGTCGTCCTCCGACGTCGCCCTGCGAGGAGCCTGCAGCCGCCGACGACTGCACCCCTCGCGCCTGAACGCCGCCGACTTCATCGGCGTGAATCACACCTCTCTGCCTCGACGTGCCTCCAGCACTGCTGCCGACTTGACCACTACCGGCGTTGACGCCCACGTCGACGCCGCCTTCGTTGTTCACCGGACGAGGAGAGGCAGGTCGAGACGGGTTCTCCGTTGCCCACATGGTGCGGAGTCCAGCCTCGACGACCGCCCAGGGCAAATCGCCATACTCGTTGGCCTCGTGCTTCCTCCTCACGTTCTCCAACCGTGCCTCCAGGATGTCCACCATCCCCGCGTCACCTACGGCTCCTACCATAGTGACTACCGCACAGTTGCCGGCCTGCAACTACGAAATAGGTAAGTGGTGTCTACGTCGACATGACGGAAAGGTAAGTCGTGTGCCGTCCACGCTCACCGCACCATGCGGAGATAACTGCTACAACGGGAGCTAGGCTACAGGCTAGGCATGGGTGCTCGTGTGATCTCTGCGTTCGTTAGTCCTTTGTCGTTTTCCTTGTGCACACACTACTTGCTAGTTCACAGGGAAAGTTGGCAAGAGTTCCACTAGGAAAAATTCAGAACAATGGGTACAATGAAGTTGGCATAGCAAGACTACATCAGAGCAAGCATTCAGGTCGGCCAACTGCCAGCGCAGCTTGGTCGACTGCGTTCCAGCACGACTTGGTCGACCGCGCTCCAGCAAGGCAAGGTCGACGGCGTGCCAACGTCGCAGGTTGACGGCGTGCCAGCGTTGCTCACGCTGGACAGCAGTGCACCCGCTTCGCAGGTGCGCGCAGATGATTGGCGTGCAGAGTCTCGTCACCTGCACAGCGCACACACCACGTCAACCTCGAGCTGACGAGTGCCTCTGATCCGCCACGACGACCTTGGGATACCACCACCGAGGTCGGGCTCGCCAACTTCGCCTGGGCGACCGTCGCACCTCCGCAGCACTTCGTCACCCAGGTAACCTGGTCGACCGGGCAACCACGTCGACCAGCAGCTCCCGCACGTGCCCGTCAACCTCCCAAGTCGACGACCACCTCCATGTCGACCTCACCAGGACGACCACGCCCCTCGGTCGACCTCCTCCAGGTCGACGTCCCTTCTGGTCGACCAGCTCCACGTCGACCAGCACTCCTGGTCGACCTGCTCCTCGTCGACCAGCACAGTTGTCGGCCGACCACCCACGTCGGCCACCCGAAGTTGGCGTCAAGAAGTTGACGCCCCGCTACTCGACGCCCAACTGCTTGGCGTCCTGAGTCGAGGTCGACGTCGGCCCCTCCTTCGTCGACCACCAGGTCCAGTCGACCACCCGCAGGTCGACCAGCAGTCCATCAGCCGACCACCGAAGTCGGCTTCCCCAAGTTGACGTCACCAAGTTGACGTCCTCCGTAGGTCGACTCCCAAGTCGACCTCCCCGAAGTCGGCGCCACCCTGAAGTCGGCGCCCGTGCAGTGATCCTCGTGCAGGTCGACCTCCTCGTCAACCAGCTCGCCCACTGCTGCAGGTTGGATGCTCCCCTCACACCCGACCACGATGTCGGCTCCGCCCAAGCGAGGACGGGGCCAACACACGACTCCCGTTGACAAAGGACCAGGCTCTCGCGCAACTGCAGAAAGCGTTCGACGCACTCAATATTACCGCGGCGACAAGCGCAGCTGCGAATGTGGGGGAGAGCGAGAGTGTGCCGCAGACGGTGACCGAAGAAACCACCCCGCCACCACAGCAAGCCCCACAATCAGCACCCACTCGACAGAGCGTGGGCAGCCAGCTCGACCAAGCATTCTTCGACGCAGTGGTGTGGCCGTGGTGCAATTGCGAGACCGTGCGGCAGGCGTGGTCGTACTAGGACGGGCCAAGCCCACTAAACAACGGACACAGTCTTCGACACGCTTACAGGAGGGACTTCGCCGTCAAGTTCAGCAAGTTCACTTCGACTCCTCCCCCCGTTCCCCCTGTTGCGGAGGAACAGGTGGCGCGGGTAGCGCGGTAGCTAAAATTGAGCGAGCACAGGTGAGCGATCAAGTTAGCAGAGCGCTCAAAAAAGGAGAGATCAGGAAACAGGAATGGGAGGAACAGGCGACTAAGAGAAATAGTGGTGGAAGTAGCGTAGCGCACCTTGATTGTAGTCAGGAATTCACTAACCGTGCGAAACTAAGTGAAGTGGGCCTCCTCAGACTCAGGGAGGAGGCTGCTAAGGGCGATGCAGGCCGCAGCGTCACGCGACTTCCACGCTCTTATGTCAGCACGCTGGTGGGCATAACGGTCACTATCTGCACTGCTTAGGTCAGCGCCTAAGGGCGCAGGGTCGTCAAGCTCAGGAAGTTCGCCGGAAGCGTGCGCCCACAGAGACTCAATTGTACATAAACCTAACCCTAACCGTTTTACCCCAAGAATAAGACTATAACCTGACCCTAACTGTTATGACACACATCACTAAGACTATAACATATGACAGCATTTGCCAAACTAGAACAGGATAATCCTAGTAATTGCTTTGTATTTGTGAGTAGCTCGTTGTACGTTACTTACCCCCTTGCAAGAAGAAGGCCTAGCACTAGGAAAAAAGAACAAGCTTTTTGAATGCCTTCATTTGTACAAAACTGTTAGCAAATTCTTTGTTTCCAATCTCACAAAAAACACTACGGTATAAGATAACGAAAGTTTGATATAAACATGTTGTAATGATTACTATCTTGAACTCACTCTATAGTATTAGCCTGTACGAAAACACATCCATGAAAGTCTTAATTGTTAGTCTATCATTCAGTCACAATTGCAAAACCCTAGGCTATCTATCTTACTTCCATTTCAACAGAACCCTAGTTCAACCGCCTCCTTTCACCCCCTCTTCTGCAATTTGCCCTGAGTCTTCCTCCTCATCCCCCTCTCTATGCTTCTCTCCCGCAGCCAATCCTTTCTCCTCTCCTCCCCCCACTACTAGTTCTTCGTTTTTACCTCGCAAAGCCTCCCCCACACCTTCACTCACGCCCCCCTCTTTCTTCTCGCTCGGCCCCTCCCCACCTCCACCCCCTCGTTCCCCCCATACCATCCCCCATGCCACATCCGCCAAACCTTCAAATCCAGCCCATCCCGCCTCTCCCGTCTCCTCCTTCCCCTCCTGACCTTCTTTTCCACTTTCCTCACCCTTCCCGGCATCCCACCACCCGGTTCCCAACCCCCAACTCCCACCCCCACCACCAAATAGACCAAACCCAGCAAACCCACCAGTCCCACCAGTCCCACCGGTCTCACCTGCCCCAGTCCCACCTCCCCCTGCTGCACCCTCAATTAGCTTCTCCAGCCCGATAGGTGGTATAGGGGGGGAGTACCTGGGGAGGCTCAGCTTGGCTTGCTTCGCTCTGCCATCCATGACAGGCTTGGGGGTGGAGGGGGGGCGCCAGAACTCTCTAGAGGCGGAATAGACGGCCACGGCCGCTCGGATGGACTCTCCAGGGGACACTGGCGCTGCTACTCCTGCTGATGCTGCTGACAAAAGGGAGCTCTCGCTGCTCACTCGCACGCTCCTCTTCCCTTGTTGCTTCTCATTACTCTCCTCAATGCTCCCCTCGTTGCTCTCCCCGTTGATCTCACTCCATAGCTCGTTTTTCCCATCTTTTCCCCTCTCGTTTCTGCCAGCCCTCCCCTGCAGGAGGGCGGACTCCTGGCGGTGCTCCAGCAGGGCGCTCTCTTGAAAGGAGAGCAGTGAGCGGGAGATGCGCAGCGAGCGAGGGAGCGACCGCTTGGTCCAGTGGGGCAGGCCGGGGAGAAAGAGGCTGGCAGAGGGATGTGAGGGGGAGGTTGGGCGAGAGGAGGCGTGGGGCAGGGAGAGGGCAGATGAGACACCCATGCTCTCATGCCATCGCCTCAACCGAGATTCAAGCGACTCCTGCCCTTCCTTCCCTCCCTCCCCTTCTTCTGCTGTTTCTTCCGCCACTCCTGCTCCTGCTGCTGCGTCTTTCATAGCTTGTGATTGGACAAGGCGGGATGGCAGTGGGAGTGGAAGGCCTGTTAAATCGGGGCAGCTGGGGGTGCGTTGGTGGGACCTTTTGGACACACCAAGCCGTGGTGATTCTGCTCTCCTTGGCAACTGGGGGGCAGCAGAAGGGGCTGTTCCGCCTGCTTCTATTCCTTCTGCTGCTTGCGCACCTCCTCCACCTCCTTCTGCTGCTTCCACGCCTCCTCCTGCTGCTGCTGCTGCTCTTGATGCTGCTCCTGCTGCAACTAAAGAGCAATCAGTTGTTTCTGTCGAGTAAGAACCAGAATGGACTGCTGTATGTGAATCACCCCTGCACGACTCTGCAGTGCGCCAATCAGCCCTGCACACGTCATACCAGGTGCTCTCTGCAGGTCTCTGCCTCGACGGTCTCTCGGCCGTGCGAGCCCGTCTAGGCGGCCCCATGCTGCCCAGATGAGAGGAGAGGATGATGGGCACAGGAGACACGTCACATGCACTCAAGATGCGCTCACACACCAACCGCGCACTGCCCACACTCCCCACACTGCCCCCGCTGCCCCCGCTGCACCCACTGCCCACACTGTCACTGCGCTGCAGGCTTCGTCCAAAGGAGGCGCGGCCAAAGGCGCGCTCGAACGGGCATTCAGAGGCACTCCGGCGGTGCAGCGACCGCCTGCCACCCGTATTGGATCTCTCTGGCGGCCTTTCGAATGAAATGTCACCATTGCTCATGCCATGCATGCTCCTTTCCATGCTGCGGCTCCTGTGTGCTGCTCCCCTGCTACAGCCGTTCCCCGTGCTCCCTTCCTCGCTGTCATTGAAGCAATCCCTACTGTCCCTGCCTTTAGTGCTACAGCTGGCTCTCTCCCTAGAGGCGTTCCCAGCGAGATTCTCTTCACATAGGGCATCCACTGAGGGATCATCCGCAGACACACACACAGACATTGTTTCACTACACACTCCTTCGTTAGAAGCACTCTTACTCTCATCTCCCTCGTCATACGAACACGAATCTCCTTCTTTCCCTGCGGCAGCTGCAGCAGCAGCACTAGCCATGTCAGCAGCACTAGACGTGTCAGCAACAGCAACAGCAGCAGCAGCAGCAGCAGCAGCAGCAGCAGCAGCAGCAGCAGCAGCAGCAGCAGCAGCAGGCGGTTGCGTGCATGGCTGGCCTGCTCCAGGGCCGGGTTTCAACTCCACACGCCCTCGCCGCTCCACGGCATGATAGCCACGGCTGATTGAGCCAGCCAGGCCTCCCAGCGAGTTGCAGCCTGGCTCTGCGGGAGGCGACATCTCAAATGTGAATTCCAACAACGAGTTGCTTCCATCCCCACGAGACACGTCCCAAACGTTGTGAGAAGAACCACAGGCCCTGGTCGCACCAGCAGCAGCAGCAGCAGGAGACTCATCCCACTCATTGCGGCGCCTCTCAGGTGTTCTTTGCCGGGGTAGTGAGCCTGCACGGGCATGCGAGCCACGAGGGACCCTGGGGCTCTTGGGGCTCTTGGGGCTCTTGGGAGGGAGCGGGGACACGGGCCTTTGTTGAGCCTGCAGTTCTTGCTGCACTGCTGCTGCTGCTGCTGCTGCTGTTGCTGCTCCTCCTCCTCCCCGTTGCACATGTGCTGCTCCTCCCAGTGATTCCAATGATTCCTGTGACTCCTGTGAATCCGGCAGCAGCAGCTCTAGATGTTCTGACCACGTATGGGCGCGCCTGTGGCCATGTGCACGGGCGCGTGAGCCACGAGGGACCTTGGGACTCTTGGGGCTCTTGGGAGGGAGCAGAGACACGGGCCTTGGCTGAGCCTCCTGCCCTTCCTGTGCTGCTGCCCCTGCTGCTCGCCATGGTTCATGTGATTCTTGTGATGCCTGGGATTCATGCTGCACCACCGCTGCTGCTGCTGATGCTCGCTGTGATTCCTGTGGTTCATGTGATTCCTGTGATCCCTCCAGCAGCACTTCTAGGGCACGTGCACGGGCATAGGCCCGCTGCCTTGGTCCTCCTCCCTCTGCTTCTTCCCCTGCTCCTCCCTCTCCTCGTTTCCCTCCTCCGTCCCCTTCTGAAAGAATCTGGGCGCTCTTGCTACTGCTGCCGCCGCTGCTTCTGCCGCTGCTGCTGCCGCTGCTTCTGCCGCTGCTGCCGCTGCTATTGCTGTTGCTGCTTCCGGGTTGGTGGCGACGCGGTGGAGCAGGGTAAACGGGAGTGGCATGCACGGGGATGCCACACGAGTCTGGGTGTAGAGGTGACGTGTAAGTCGATTGGGAAGCAGTGTGGATGGGAGCAGGGCAGACGGGGGCAGTGTGGATGGGGATGCCATGTCCGCGCTGCTGTGGGGGTGGAGAGACAGCGTGAGACGAGAGCTGGGAAGAGGCAGGGTGCTCAAACGAAGGTTGGGGCGGTTCAAAAGTCTGTGGGGTTGGAGAGGCCGCGTGCATTGAGTGCTCAAACGAGAATTGAGGCGCCTCAAAAGGCTGTGGAGCTGGAGAGGCAGCGGGCATCACGTGTTTGGACGAAGTAGCAACACCAACAGCAGCAGCAGGAGCACCACCACCACCAGCAACAGGAGCAGCACCAGCAACATCGGTGTCAGCGTCAGCATCAGCATCAGCATCAGCATGTAGGGAGGGGGAATCAGGGGAAGGTGAGACATGGCCTGCAGATACCATCTCAGATGCTCCCTGCAGGCTGTTGCTGTTCCGCGGGCTGATGCTACTCTGGCTCTGCCCGTTCCCCCGGCTCTTCCCAAACAGCTTCATCACTGCTTTCACCATCCTGCTCCTCCCACCAACATCACCTCCGTCGCTGCCGCTGTCGCCACAACCAACGGTCATGAGCCCGAGATCAGTGCGTGCCCTTGGGATCAACGCCGGTCCCTGCTTACTACTGCCTGCTATGGGGGACTTGGGCGGCTTACTGCCTGCTCTGGGGGGGTTGCTGGGCCGCTCCGTCCCCCCACTAGGGACCGTCAGCTCAAGATCAGTGCGTGCCCTTGGTATCAACATCCCCAGCCCAGCGCGAAAGATGCTGTCGCCTTTGGCCGTTTTGCCCGTTTTGGGCGACTTGGGCGTTGTCGGCTGTTGGGCTTCTGCCCTGTGAGCCTGTGGCAATGGGATGCGCTCTTCTGGTGTGTCCAGCAGCAGCAGGTCCGTCCCGCACTTCTCAGAGCTTTCAGATTTCTCAAAAGTTTCCGACCTCTCAAAGATTTTGGCCTTCCCAGCGGGTTCCTGGACCCCCTGTTCGGTGTGGGCGGATACAGACCGGTGGATATCGTACTTCCCTCCTCTGGCTAAGTTATCGGAGCCAGAGCTCGTATCAAAGGGCAGGGGAGAAGGCCGGGGAGAGGGCAGGGGAGAGGGCACGGGAGAGGGCAGGGGAGAGGGCAGGGGAGAAGGCCGGGGAGAGGGCAGGGGAGAGGGCAGGGGAGAAGGCATACCAGGGGGGGGGTTCAAGGGAGGGAAAGAGAAACTGGGGCAGGAGGGGACTGCTGGTTGAGGCGTTGAGGGTGAGGCGCCTGGAAGAGGTGGGGGAATGAGGACGTGACGGGAAGGCGATCTTCCTATCCCTCTGTTGCTGCTGCTGCTGCTGGTGCTGGTTCTGTTGATATTCTCATTGCCTGTGCCGGTGTCGCTGAAGCTGAAGATGCTGCTGCTGCTGCGTGACCGCCTGTGATTGCCTCTCATTCCAATCGCTTGAATCTCCAATCCACCCGCCTCTTGACCCGCCTCTTTGATTGTCTCTTGAGGCGGAAGGAGGGAGGCCGTGAGAGGCTGGCGCTGGAAAGCAGAGGCGGAGCGAGACACAGGGGAGGGGGTGCGGGGTTGTCGGAGGAGGGAAGAGGAGCCGTCATGCAAGGGTTGAGGGGATTGATGCAAGGGGGAGGGAGAGGGGGAGCGACGCAAGGGGGAGGGAGATTCCAGCAGCATTCCGGAGAAGATCTCAAGAGCACCGGACGAGGACGATCGCAAGTGCCTTGTCGGGTTCCTTTCCTGCTGCTTCCCCTGCTGCTGCCGCAGCTTCTCCGGCTGCCGCTGCTGCTGCCGTTGCTCCCCAACAGGAGTAGAACCAGCAGCAGCACCAGCAGCAGTCGTGGATGCGGCAGCTACGGAGGCGGGTTGGGCGAAGGGCACGCAGGCGAATTCAGAGATGGCGTTGGTGAGAGCAGCGAAGGCCGTTCGTTCCGCGAGTTGCCTCAGATCCTTCAATGGAAGGCCGTCACTGGAAATGCTGCCGCTAGTGTTGGTGTTCTTGGCAATACTGCTGCGGCGGCGGCGGCGGCAGTGCGTCCAGGCGGCATGGGCGGCGCTGATGGCGGCGATGGTGCGATGCAAGGGCACTGGCTTCTCACGACCCGCGATGGTGCTCGGCGGATCGACTGGGGGGAAGAACAGGGATGGGTGAGAAGAGGGAAAAACAGAGGGGAGAGGAGAGGGGGAAAGGTGAATGAGCGAGTAAGGTCAGACGCAGGGAGCGAGGGGTGCTAGGGAGTTGTGTAAAAGTAAAACAGATAGTGAAGCGACGAGTGAAGTGAAATGAGATGATGTGAGGTAAGGTTGGAATGAGGTGGGGGTGAGGAGAGGTGCGCAGTGTAGACGTCCCAGAGAGGAGGCTCCACTTACACACGGTGTTACACTTGTAGTATTTCAGCCACTCCACGATTTGGAGCAGCTTCGCCTCCAGCCAAACCGGGTAACCACTTAGCGAATCCAGCAGCGCCGCAGCCATCGGATCCGACGAATCAACGGCCACGATCTTCCAGGAGGATTTCAGATCGGGACTGACAACAAGGAACGCGAGCAGCGGCTTCACCAGATACACCTGCCCCACTCGAGCCTCCCCGCTCCCGATTTCGATCACCTCCAATGGTGCGTGCTGGTCGCACGCGCCGTCGCACGCCTTGTCACACTCATTGTCACCCGCGTTGTCGCACGACTTGCCATTGCCAGATTGGGACTGAAGATCCCCTCTGACGTTGTCCCCTTGGCGGCAGGAGCACGTCTGCGGGATGATCCCGAGGTTCCAATCGAGATTGTGACTGTAATGAGCGGGTAACCCGTCCACCTGGCGAACGCGCAGAGGGTGACACGCCTCGTTATAAGCTGCCTCGATTTGCACCCACGAGTTACGGGGTGTGCAGCAAACCATAGCAATGCTGTCGCCCGCCATAAGCCCATTCACAGCCGCGGCTGCCGTTGCACAACTTCTCTTGCCAATAGGACGCTGGTTGATTGACGGCTGAGATGTTCCAGCAAGGCCGCTACCGTCATCTGATGATGAAGCTGAGTCAGCAGGCCGAATTGGAACGTCATTCCACGTGGAGATTGGATGCAGAATCACGGTGTCGTCCTGACTTCGCCCAGATTGGATGATGGAAGTCGACTTTGCGGAAGTGGGAGGGTCGGACAGGAGAAAGCCCCGGTACAGCACGGATCCTGGGAGGCCGAACTCGATATACTCACAATTTTCCATGGCGGCTGTGCGCGCCTTCGATAATGTGGTATCCACGCGGTTTGTGTGCTACAGCACCGGATGGCGCACTTGTGTTACACACAAAAGCTTCGGCTCTCCTCGGAAGATTTGCGTGGCTGAGCTTTGTACACCGGAATGTGACGTGTGTAAATCACATTAAACGTCACTTCCGACCTTGCCTTTCCCGCGATGCGATCAAGAAGTGGAAAGGCTTTCCAAACAACCAAGTAGCAGCTCTACTACTACTGGATCTCGGCCTGATGTCACGGTACAACTCACTACTATCCTGGCAGGAGAAAGTTATCGATGTGCCATCATGCTTGACTGCCTCTCACGGCGTGAGAAATGCCTCCGAATAAGAGGGGCGGGATGACTCTGACAGAAGATGGATGCTTCCAAACTATGCTTCCAATGAGAACTGGAGACGGCTCTTCCTCCGAAAAACAAGTCTCTCTATCTCTCTCTCTCTTTCTCTCCCGGTAGTAACCGGACCAACGCTGTGGAGTGTGGAGCGTAAGGCGCGGCACGTTCCTCATCCCAGTGTAGCTGGCATCGACAGGTGTCACCTTCAAGTTTGCACGACGAATTGAATCGTCCTGCCAGCCCGTTCGGTCGGCGAATTCGAGTTTCGAATGGTGGATGGTTCCCAAGTTGGGACTGAGTTTCGCCATAAATGCGACGCACAGCTCAGCAGGCGTGTTGCCAGGTTGGCTTTTAGGACTGAGAGAATTCTGAACTCCGCAAGAGACACGCTCCGAATTCGTCGAAAGCCGCGAAGTGAGCTGCATGCTGGAGCTTCCGGCGCGTAACCTTGTGCGGTGGTTTCTCCTCGCCTCACCACCACTAACTGTCGGCCAGCCATCTATCAACATGCCAACCTGGCTTTCAAAACCCTAGCTCCCTCTCCCGCATTCCTCTGTATCTCTCAACGGAATCGGGGGTGACGCTCCGTTTTGCCAGGGCTCCGTTCTGCTACATTCCGTTGAGATATACTACTAGGCTGTTTCTCCCTCTCTCTCTCATCCTATCGCCCCCTCTCTCGCTCTCTTCTCTCCCTACTGTAGATCGTTACGAGCAGCAGAGATTGGAAGTTTGCGGTGCGACGCATCCACTAGTGCTATGCGACACGGACAACTGCTGAAATGCCGGTTTCGCACAACTTGTGCGACAATTCCACTGTAGTGCGACGCTGACAACTAACATGCCGGTTTCGCGCGCGTAACATTGAGAATCGAGACCCATGAGTGTCCCATGTGGTCCCTTGCAAGCCTATGCATGATCTGTCGCGTGTGCCTGGAATTGAAATGAGAAGCACTGTTTAGTATCCAATACCATAAATGGCGTCCGGTTTTCATGGGTGGTGATGATGACAATACAGTACATTGCGGGGAATTCGAATTTTCCCTGGGCTGCTCTGTGTGTGTGTGTGTACCAGGGCCTTTGGTACCGCCAGTGTTCGTTGCACTGCGCGCAAGACTCACTCCAAGCCCTGCTTAGTTGTACTCATTTCGAGCCACTCGTCCAGATCGGGGTTCGCCATAATGGGGGGTGGGTGGGTAGGCAGGCAGGGTGGTGTTGCGTTGGTAGGCGGATTAGGGGATGTTAGAATGTGCAAAAAATTTCCATTTCCTTAGGGCGGGTCCGAAGTGAAGTCGACATACGTTGACATCCGATGTCGGTAAATCCTGACGGTTGGAACTCTCGATCCGAGGGTTGACATTTACCGACATCCATCGACATCCATTCGACGCTTCACTTCGGACACGCTCTTACGCCGCATCCCTGCTTAGCGCGTACATCACTATAGCACCACAGTCAACACCGTTACCACTCGCAACCCTCGCTTCGACAATCCTCCCGCCACCTTCGCAAGTCGCACCCCGACCTCACGGCTCGGCTGGTAACCCGCGCTCCGGGCCTCCGCCTCGACATTTCCCAACCACAGTCCCAACTGTCGGAAAGAAAGGCCTCACCCTCGCTTGGGCGCAGACATTCTTTGCGACGACGTGGTGAATTCGACGAAGTGATCGTCACATTGAATCAGCCCGTCCTCAGAAACCGCGGTGGGTTTTCGAGGAGGTGGTCCTCTGATTCACCAGCCCATCAACGAGTTCTGATCGACGGGGTGCTGTTCGACAAGCTCGTCCTCTAATCTGCTAGTGATTCGCGCGATCTCTAACGGACGGGGTGCTTTCCGAGGAGCCCCGTTCTCTGATCGAAGGACGCTATTCGGCGAATCTCATCTCGGTGAACTGTCTGGCCGAATTTGCGCGACTACGAAACTCTGCAAAGGTATGCGAAATTCGCTCAGGTGGTTCTTAGCAAAAATTCGACCTGCGAAATGGCATCACGTGCTTGACGGTGGACATCTCACGAAACCGTCAAAGCGTTTTCTACCTGGCACCTGCGCAATGTCTCTAACGGTGTAACCGTCTACCTGCACCTACTCGGCAGGTGCACACCTGCGCAGATATTCGCCTGCGAATGCAGCGCTGGCACGCCGCCCTGTTGCAGCGCTGGCATTGTTACGAAGAAGAAGTGATTGCACTATGAAAGTTGGAGTACAAGTAGGAAACCCTAACTTTGTGAACCCCCTAAAGGCTAACCCACTATAGCCTACACAATAATAACACATATAGTGTTTGACACACCCCCATAGGCAAAGTGGGGGAGAACAAGGGGTCACAAGACCAGTCAAGAAAGGCAAGCAAGCTCAGGGTGGATCACAACGTCACCACACACTCCGAGCACAAGCAAAGGGCCACAAGGCCAGTTCACATGCAGAAGTATATATAAGTAGTGCAGACAGCAAAGGTGATCTCAACCTAGCAGAACAAACAGGCAGGAGTATATATAGAGATCACAGTACAGGCAAAGCCTACAACAAGTGGGGCAAAGTGGGCACTAGCCCCAACAAAGTACAGAAGCGCTGATGATCACCAGGCTGAACTGCCTTGGTGAATATATCAGCGGTGTTGCCCTGAGAGGCCACGTAGCGCAGACGAAGCTGGCCACGCTGCTGCAGCTCACGAGCAAGGAAGTAACGGAGAGCGATGTGCTTCGTTCTGTGCTCCAGTCTGTGCTCCTCACACAAGGCAATGGCAGCCTTGTTGTCGACGTACAGCACTGGAGGAGAACTAGGCCGCTCTCCAAGGTCGGTCAACAGGTAGGTGAGCCAGCGTAACTCCTGTGCAGCCATGGCTGTGGCGTAGATCTCAGCCTCACAACTGGAGCTGAGAACTGAAGACGAACGAGTAGAGCGCCACGAAACTGAACCAGAGCCAAGGCTGAAGGTGTAACCCTGTGACGACCGCTGAGTAGCCTGGTCGTCAACCCAAGAAGCGTCTGAGTGCCCAGTGAGAACAACTGAGCTCCCTCCTCCAAGCACGAGCCCCATGCCTGATGTACTGCACAAGTAGCGCAATACCCTCTTTGCAGCATCCCAGTGCACCTTTCGGTGACGACCAGGAGCCACGTAGCGAGCCAGAAGGCCAAGAGGGTATGCTAGGTCAGGACGAGTGCAAAACATCAGGTACATGAGGCAACCAACTAACTCTGGGTAAGGACCACTCGACTCTACGCACTCATCCGAAGGCAGAGCTGAGAGCGAGTGACCTATAGCCCGAGGAGTGGCCTTTGCTGAGGACCAGGTGAAGCCGAAGCGCTGAAGGACCTGCTGCACCATGTGTGACTGAGTCAGGGTAATGGTGCGGCGTGCTCTGTCCCGGGTGATCTCCAAGCCAAGGTAGCTGCGCAGTTCACCCAGGTCTGTGCACATGTGTCTCTTCTGCAGCTCCGACTTCACGTGGGCGAGAGACTCAGTGTCAGCTGTGGCAAAGACCAAGTCGTCGACGTACACGAGGATGTAGAACGGCGGCAGCGAAGTGTCGGTGCGTAGAAACAGCGACGGGTCAGCAGTAGAAGGAGAGAACCCAAGTGCCGCAAGAGTAGTCCTCAGTGTGTCGTGCCACTCACGTGGCACCTAGCGTAGACCGTAGACCGGCTGCCGGAGGCTCCACTGGGTACCAGGAGGAAACGACCCAGTGAAGCCAGGAGGGCGGCGCAGTCAGATCTCCTCGTGCAGACTGCCCTGCAAGAAAGCTGTGCTGAAGTCAAGGGAGTGAAGCTCGTAGTCACGCTGAGCAGCAACGTGCAGTAGTACCCGAAGAGTGGTCATCTTCGGGGTGGGGGAGAAGGTCTGAAAGAAGTCTACTCCCTCTCGCTGACTGAAGTCTCGAGCAACGTAACGAGCCTTGAAGACACGCGGAGAACCCGGCGGCCGCTTCACCCTGAAAATCCACATGCCACTGACGATGTTCGCCCCAGGTGGGGGAACCTCGTCGACGTAGGTGCCTATGGACTTCCAGGAAGCCATCTCTGCGTCCATGGCTGACTGCCACTGTGAGGAGTAGGGACCCTCGATCGCCTCAGCGTACGATCGAGGAGTCGGGATGTCTGGTGCATCCGGGTCTCCCTCAGGGGCAAGTAGCATGGACACGAGATGGGGCGCATCGGCTGCAAGACACTCAAGGTCCTCAAGGACGTCCGTGCTAAGAGCACACTCACCCCCGACAGACAGAGGACAGACAGACTCAGACTCAGCAGCAAGACTGGCAGCGTAGTCTAAACGACAGCGAACAGCAAAGTCGACAAGCTCAGCAACTAGGGCAGACGCAGCAGCAGACTCAAACGAAGGGTCAGTGACAGCAGTGGCCAGGAGGCGCTTGACAGTAGGACTGGCAGCACGAAGAGAGTCAGACTCCGGGTCAGCAAGAGCAGGAAGAGAGGACTCAGGAGGAGACGGAAGAGGGACACGCTGTGGAGCAGTGGAGGGACGCAGTGACATCCCGTGTGTGCCAGGGACTGGTGGCGGACGCTCACGCGGAGAACGGCGACTGGTGGAAGTAGCATGAACAGGTGACTCAGGACGGGACACAGGCGACACAGGATGAGACTCAGGCTGACGACGCTCTGTGAGACCGCCTGTAGGACCAGTGTAG